AGCGTAGATAGTCCGAGCGTAGATAGTCCGAGCGTAGATAGTCCGAGCGTAGATAGTCCGAGTGTAGTAATCAGAGCGTAGATGGTCCGAGCGTAGATAGTCCGAGCGTAGATAGTCCGAGGCGGTCCCGCAGGTCTCTCCCTCAGACCAGTCTCTCCAGAGGATACGATGTAAGCTAGCTCTGTTCAGGGCTTGGTTTCTTCTTTGATCATGTTTTGGCTTTAGTTCCTCTTCTCTTCCTCACTGTTGTGTGGTTTGGGCTGTTTTGCTTTGTCTCGCTCTGTGATTGGAGGAGAGCGGGCGTCACGCTAAGTCTCTACTCAGCACTTTTTACGCCTGAATTCAGACACATCTGAATCAATGAGCTCAAGTTTTACATTAAATTACGGATAATAATACAACTCGAATGTAGTAATACGCATTTTTATGAACTCATTAAAAAAAAAAATCGGGTATTCTTAAAGGGGTCTCTCCCAGAATGTGACCGGCAGATGCAGAGAGCTGGATCATTGAGCTCCCGGATGCTCCACCTGCACAGTTCTGTTAGGGCTAGGGTTACTGTGAGTGTGGTGGAGTATGGCTCATGTCTTGCCCCCTCCCGCCTCCCCCCTGGTGTTGTCATGTCCCCTGTGTGTCTGCATGTGTCTGTGTCCCGCTCTCTGGCAGACGGGGGTTTAAAGTGTGAGATCTGTGCTGTGTGAGGTCAAAGCTCTGGTATTCACAGTCAGAATCGGAGAAAAACCACGGCGTCAACCCCACAATCCCCCAATTACCACAGCGCATTCACGGTTGTACATGTGCGCACCTCCACACACACTTATCCAGAGACTACAGTGTGTAACCTGAGGACCTGAGACTGTAGATCCAGGACTGAGGCTGTAGATCCAGGACTGAGGCTGTAGATCCAGGACTGAGGCTGTAGATCCAGGACTGAGGCTGTAGATCCAGGACTGAGGCTGTAGATCCAGGACTGAGGCTGAAGACCCAGGACTGAGGCCGTAGACCCAGGACTGAGGCTGAAGACCCAGGACTGAGGCTGAAGATCCAGGACTGAGGCCGTAGACCCAGGACTGAGGCTGAAGACCCAGGACTGAGGCTGAAGACCCAGGACTGAGGCTGTAGACCCAGGACTGAGCCTGTAGATCCAGGACTGAGGCTGTAGACCCAGGACTGAGGCTGTAGACCCAGGACTGAGGCTGTAGATCCAGGACTGAGGCTGTAGACCCAGGACTGAGGCTGTAGATCCAGGACTGAGGCTGTAGATCCAGGACTGAGGCTGTAGATCCAGGACTGAGGCTGTAGATCCAGGACTGAGGCTGAAGACCCAGGACTGAGGCCGTAGACCCAGGACTGAGGCTGAAGACCCAGGACTGAGGCTGAAGATCCAGGACTGAGGCCGTAGACCCAGGACTGAGGCTGAAGACCCAGGACTGAGGCTGTAGATCCAAGACTGAGGCTGTAGATCCAAGACTGAGGCTGTAGATCCAGGACTGAGGCTGTAGATCCAGGACTGAGGCTGTAGATCCAGGACTGAGGCTGTAGACCCAGGACTGAGGCTGAAGACCCAGGACTGAGGCTGTAGACCCAGGACTGAGGCTGTAGATCCAGGACTGAGGCTGTAGACCCAGGACTGAGGCTGTAGACCCAGGACTGAGGCTGTAGATCCAGGACTGAGGCTGTAGACCCAGGACTGAGGCTGTAGATCCAGGACTGAGGCTGTAGATCCAGGACTGAGGCTGTAGATCCAGGACTGAGGCTGTAGACCCAGGACTGAGGCTGTAGACCCAGGACTGAGGCTGTAGATCCAGGACTGAGGCTGTAGACCCAGGACTGAGGCTGTAGATCCAGGACTGAGGCTGTAGATCCAGGACTGAGGCTGTAGATCCAGGACTGAGGCTGTAGATCCAGGACTGAGGCTGTAGACCCAGGACTTGAAATGTATGTGTTTGATCCTGGAAAGACTCAGACATAAAGATGTATTAGAATGTAGTTTCTTCAGTGGGTTGCATGGCGTGTATCGATCGCTGCAGGACGAGACCAGTGTTTACCTTTTGGATTTCCAAAAGTTAACAACTTCTCAAGGCACACTCACGGCACGGCGAAAAACACAGGATTACACACCAACATAATATATACTGATACGGTCGATAAAATGTGGATATGGACAAAATATAGCACGACTTAGGCAGGTGAATAGATGAATAGATGTTATGAAATTGAATCCCCTCGGGCTCTGAACCCCAAGAGCCGCTGATGAGAGGTCTCTGAGGCAGTGATGGGGAGGAGGCGGGTTTCTGCACAAGCCGGAAACATTGGCACCAGATGCGAGGAGCAGTTTAAATGCAGCAAGTGAAGCAGATATGGAAACTAGCCGAGGTGTGAGGATGTGCCAGGGCGGAAGTGAAGATGTGGAATAATAATAATAATAACAATAAGAATACATACAACTTTTTTTAGACTCTCAAAGACGCTTTACAAAACAGACAAAAATAAACATTGAAGAACAATATGAATTGGGTTGAGAAGTGATCTAAAGTTTAAACATTTTTTTGGATCCACTTTGGCAAACAAAGATAATACACACAGAGAATACACACAGATGATACACACGGAAAACACACACAGATGATACACACAGATGATACACACAGATGATACACACAGATGATACACACAGATGATACACACAGATGACACACACAGATGATACACACAGATAATAAACACAGATGATACACACAGATGATACACACAGATGATACACACAGATGATACACACAGATGATACACACAGATAATACACATGATGATACACACAGATGACACACACAGATGATACACACAGATAATACACACAGATGATACACACAGATGATACACACAAATGATACACACAGATGATACACACAGATGAACCACACAGATGACACACACAGATGATACACACAGATAATACACACAGATGATACACACAGATGATACACACAGATGAACCACACAGATGACACACACAGATGATACACACAGATAATACACACAGATGATACACACAGATGATACACACATGATACACACAGATAATACACACAGATGATACACACAGATAATACACACAGATGATACACACAGATGACACACACAGATGATACACACAGATAATACACACAGATGATACACACAGATGATACACACAAATGATACACACAGATGATACACACAGATGAACCACACAGATGACACACACAGATGATACACACAGATAATACACACAGATGATACACACAGATGATACACACAGATGATACACACAGATAATACACACAGATGATACACACAGATGAACCACACAGATGATACACACAGATGACACACACAGATGATACACACAGATAATACACACAGATGATACACACAGATGATACACACAAATGATACACACAGATGATACACACAGATGAACCACACAGATGACACACACAGATGATACACACAGATAATACACACAGATGATACACACATGATACACACAGATGATACACACATGATACACACAGATGATACACACATGATACACACAGATGATACACACATGATACACACAGATAATACACACAGATGATACACACATGATACACACATGATACACACATGATACACACAGATGATACACACAGATGAACCACACAGATGATACACACATGATACACACATGATACACACAGATGATACACACATGATACACACAGATGATACACACGGATGATACCAAGCCCGGGTCATCCAAGATGGCGTCCTATTCAAATGAATGACTTGTGCTCAGTAGCGCCAAATACGGGTGTGGCTCACGTGCACAGAGAGGCTCGGCCACGCTCTGTCCAATCAGAGCTGCTGATCAGAGCGGAGTCAGAGCGGGAAGAAAACCAGCAGAAATTGTGACATTAAAGTGTGGATTCAAAGAAAACTGAAGGATTTAACGAGAAAAAAAGTTCAGGATGACAAGAGACACTAAAATCCCCACAAATCCGACCTTCATGAAAGCTGTAGGTTCTCTGTCAGGTTCTCTGTCAGGTTCTCTGTCAGGTTCTCTGTCAGGTTCTCTGTCAGCTGAGGTCGAGCTGTTTTAGTTTACATTGAGTTCTATGGGACTTTTTTCTGGGTATCCCAAGTGATTTAAGTCTGCAGTACCACAGCGCCCCCTGTGGCCATGGGTGGAACAGCTGTAAGCTAGTAATACTCTATCCAGTTATTATTATAGATCCATGGATAATACACACACACACACACACACACAGATGATACACAGATAACACACACAGATAATACACACAGATAATACACACAGATAACACACACAGATAATACACAGATAACACACACAGATAATACACACACACAGATAATACACACACACACACACAGATGATACACAGATAACACACACAGATAATACACACACACACACAGATAACACACACAGATGATACACACACACACAGATAACACACAGAGGAGCGTGCTGAGCCAAAAAAACCACAGGCTCCACAGACAAAAGCCTCGTCATGCTCCAGTCCGGTCCTGTCACTAATCCACAGCTTTAGTGGCTGCAGACGGACTCACACACACACACACAGAGGATACACAGAGACACACACACACTGCAGACTCACACACACTGCAGACACACACACACATATCTACGCCAAAGAAAATGTGACACATGAGCTGATGAGGAGGTCTCACACATGCCCTTTCACTTACCCCCTACTCCAGGGCTCCAGGGCTCCGACTCCAGGGCTCCGGGGCCGGGTGCTGAGGCCGGGTGCTGAGGCCGGGTGCTGAGGCCGGGTGCTGAGGCCGGGTGCTGATGCCGGGTGCTGAGGCCGGGTGCTGAGGCCGGGTGCTAAGGCCGGGTGCTAAGGTCGGTGCTAAGGCCGGTGCTGAGGCCAGGTGCTAAGGCCGGGTGCTAAGGCCGGGTGCTAAGGCCGGTGCTAAGGCCGGTGCTAAGGCCGGGTGAGGCCGGGTGCTGATGCCGGGTGCTGAGGGCCGGGTGCTGAAAGGCGGGGTGCTGAGGCCGGGTGCTGAGGCCGGGTGCTGAGGCCGGGTGCTAAGGCCGGTGCTAAGGCCGGTGCTAAGGCCGGTGCTAAGGCCGGTGCTAAGGCCGGGTGCTGAGGCCGGGTGCTAAGGCCGGTGCTAAGGCCGGTGCTAAGGCCGGTGCTAAGGCCGGTGCTGAGGCCGGGTGCTAAGGCCGGTGCTAAGGCCGGTGCTAAGGCCGGTGCTAAGGCCGGGCCGGTGCTAAGGCCGGTGCTGAGGCCGGGTGCTAAGGCCGGGTGCTAAGGCCGGTGCTGAGGCCGGTGCTAAGGCCGGTGCTAAGGCCTAAGGCCGGTGCTGAGGGCCGGTGCTAAGGCCGGTGCTAAGGCCGGTGCTAAGGCCGGTGCTAAGGCCGGTGCTGAGGCCGGGTGCTAAGGCCGGGTGCTAAGGCCGGTGCTAAGGCCGGTGCTAAGGCCGGTGCTAAGGCCGGTGCTAAGGCCGGTGCTGAGGCCGGGTGCTAAGGCCGGGTGCTGAGGCCGGGTGCTAAGGCCGGCAGAGCTGCTGGCGACAGGTCGGACATGGGAGATGGCTCACTAAGCTCCACACACAGGGGAACGTGTGGGACATTTATTACATCCATTATTACTTTGGCCGTTTTTATTTCACACTTCTCTGACAAAGGAGACCACACACAGCACACATGTATTTTAGTATATACAGTATTTAGTGTATATTTGTCCTGATGTGCTGGACTGTATTTTCAAATATGATCTTTCATTAATACTAGGCCTTTAAGTACAAAAGAATGACTATTGAGCTCTGGAACGCTTTGTCGCTGCTGTGTATTTATTATTAGAGGTTGTGAGAGTGTGTGTATGTGTGTGTGTGTGTGTGTGTGTGTAAGTGTGTGTGTGTGTGTGTGTGTGTGTGTGTGTGTGTGTGCAAACAAGGGCAGTCATAATTGGGGCTTATCACCACACACGAGCGCAAAACCCAAGGTGCCAAAGGGGGATTGGTAATGCCTGACCCATCTGACTGACTCTGTGTGTGTGTGTGTGTGTGTGTGTGTGTGTGTGTGTGTGTGTGTGTGTGGTCCTCTCAGTGGTCCTCTCTGTGGTCCTCTCTGTGGTCCTCTCTGTGGTCCTCTCTGTGGTCCTCTCTGTGGTCCTCTCTGTGGTTCTGTATTTTAAACCTGCAGTTAAAGAGATTCTGATCTAAATAAATCTGATGAATTTCTTAATTTCATCAAAGTCAGAGATTGTGTCCGTCTTGATCCAGGTCCAGATCCAGGTCCAGGTCCAGAATGTTCTGGGTTCACTTGCGAGGCCTTGGACAGTCGTGTCTCTCACTCCATCGCTTAAGTACATTCCTCGCTGTGGGCCGCAGAGATTCTCAGAAGTAGATGATTTTCTCTGTGTCCAGCATCTGGAGCACTTCACTCAAATCAAAGACACTTTTATTGATTTTCCTTTTGAAACATTCTTCCTTTCAGCGGAGCAGCGTCTGCCACGTCACATGACAACTGAGAGCACAGCTCTGAGATTAAAGCTGATGATGCAGAGGAGGTGAAGGTGACAGGGGCCACCTCTGGACCAGAAGGAACCCGAGCAGCAGGTGCTGTCCAGGTGTCTCCAGACTCACACTCTAAAGCAGTGTTCAGACTCACACTCTAAAGCAGTGTTCAGACTCACACTCTAAAGCAGTGTTCAGACTCACACTCTAAAGCAGTGGTCAGACTTTACCTCTAAAGCACTGTTCAGACTCACACTCTAAAGCTGTGTTCAGACTTTAACTCTAAAGCTGTGTTCAGACTTTAACTCTAAAGCTGTGTTCAGACTCACACTCTAAAGCTGTGTTCAGACTTTAACTCTAAAGCAGTGTTCAGACTCACACTCTAAAGCTGTGTTCAGACTTTAACTCTAAAGCAGTGTTCAGACTTACACTCTAAAGCTGTGTTCAGACTTACACTCTAAAGCTGTGTTCAGACTTTAACTCTAAAGCTGTGTTCAGACTTTAACTCTAAAGCTGTGTTCAGACTTTAACTCTAAAGCTGTGTTCAGACTTTAACTCTAAAGCAGTGGTCAGACTTTAACTCTAAAGCAGTGTTCAGACTTTAACTCTAAAGCAGTGGTCAGACTTTAACTCTAAAGCACTGTTCAGACTCACACTCTAAAGCTGTGTTCAGACTTTAACTCTAAAGCAGTGGTCAGACTTTACTGTAACTCTAAAGCAGTGGTCAGACTTTAACTCTAAAGCAGTGTTCAGACTTTAACTCTAAAGCAGTGTTCAGACTTTAACTCTAAAGCAGTGGTCAGACGCCGACGCAGGGTCATGCGATCACTAAATAGAACACAAAGAAAAAAGAAAAGAAAAGAAAGAACACACTAAACACATGACGTAAAGTAAAGTGCATTTAAAGTGTGAGACAGGCCTCCTCTCTGACAATGTTTAAAACCAGGTTAAAGACAGTTCTGTTTAACTGTGCTACAACTGAGGGATTTTATATTTTTATCTTTCTTTTTAATGTTCTGTGATAATTTATGATTTTAATGCTTTCTTGTTTTGTTCAGCACTTTGAATTGCCTTGTGCATGAATTGTGCTATATAAATAAACTTGCCTTGCCTTGCCTAAATGTGTCTTTATTGATTCAGGAACAAACTAAAATAATTTGTCTCATTGAAACAAATGTAATCACAGAAGTGTTCTTAAACGACTGCTGCGTCTTCAGTCAGAGCGATATAAAAATGATTGATTCTTAATAAAAGTGTGAGATTGGAGCCGTCTGTGGCAGAGCTTTCATGGTCAGGTGTGTTTTCCGTCTGTTCCAAGGACAAAAGCTCGAAATGAACAAAGTTTAGTGGAAATAAAAAGAAAATGTAAGAAAAGAAAAACAAAGATGACATTCAGAGGATCGTGACACAAACCAAATGAATGGAATCTCAATGTATTTACCTTAAATCACTACAGACGTCTTCTTTAAAAAGTTGTAGATTCCTCGAAGGGCAGATGACCACTGTTCATAAAATAGTTAAGGTTCTTTAATGTCTCGGATCATCATGAACAAACTTCTTAAAACTATCCAAACGTAACTTTTGAAAATGCATCCGCATTTCTTTCATGTTTGACCTTTCAGCACTGTTTTTTTTGTTTTTTTCTCCCCTTTTAGTGTTATAGAAAACTTCCATCCATCCATTTTCTTCCACTTCATCCGTTGCCGGGTCGCGGGGGCAGCAGTCTGAGCAGAGACGCCCGGACTTCCCTCTCCACACACAAGAAAAGAAAAGTTAATATATAGTGATAAATGGTAAAAATTAAATAAAAAGACACCACCTCTGCTGCTGCTGCTTTTTATCACTGGAGACTGGTGCTCTGTGACTTGGGTGCCACCCCGACCCAGAAATGGATTAAGGGGAAGAAGATGGATGGATGTTTTAGGCCCTGTTTATACGGAGGCGCTGCGCAGACGTTTCCAGGATATGAACAGAAACGACCAGGCTCCTAATGCACTTTCACAGCGTTCATACGAGGATCAAAAACAATGTAGTTCTAGCGCCCGGCCAGTAGGGGGCAGAGGAGCTTATAAACACGACACACGCGAGCCCCAGCACCCACCCCCCCCCCCCCCCCCCCAGCAGCATACACACTTCCTCAACAACATCCTCCTCAGGCGTCGCAAAGACTTGAAAGAACCAACATCATTCTGCATTTTACAGCAGCTGCGAAAATGGAAACTGAAACTAAAGCTTTGCGTGGTCTCGTTTGGACGAACGAAAGAGTAGAATCCTCCTGCGTGTAGCGCTCGGAGCACATGTAGCTAGTTAGTTTACCAACCGCCATTGTTGTTTACGTTTGTTCTTGGCGACTGCACATGTCCAAATGTACGTGCGGGGAGCAGTGGGAGGTGGGGTCAGATCAGGCAAAGAATTCACACCTTTTTCCTTCACAGGCGTGTGAAAGAGCGCCCCCTGCAGAGCATCTGAGCTGTCCCACTCTGAGGCTGGATCGGAACACTTACGTTTTCACCTGGAACACAGTCTCTGTATGAACGAGGGGTAGCGACCGACACCAACTATAGCGTTTCACTGCTGCATTGTCTCCGTGTAAACTGGGCCTTAGAATGATGTATTTGTTTGTTTGTGTGGATGTGTTTCTGCTGCTGGACTCTTGCGTTTCTCCTACTGGACCAATTAAGTATCCATATCATTAAAACAATATTTCATGTATCTTTCTGGTTAAGAAACGTTCAAGCCGCAAATCTGGTGATTTACCGACATCTTCATCCAGAATCTTTCAGCTCCTGGCTCTGAAAGATTCAATTTCCGTCAAAAGGAGGCGGTATCTTCGGTTACGCTGAGCTCTCCTGTGTTCGCCTGTTTCTGCTTCATACAGTTATGATTAATCCCTGTTCGAGTAATCAGAGTGGCTCTTCTTCTTCGTCTTCTTCTTCTTCTTCCTCCCCCTCCTCTGCCTCGCTCCAGATGCCTGTGTGATGTCAGGGCAGTGGGCGATCGGATCCAGATGGGTGATCGATGGCACACGGACAATGTTCTCGAGCAGCAAGGCCCGGCAGTTTCCACTTTCAGACAGACAGAGCCCTGCACTGGCCCGGGATGAGGCTGGTGATTAATGAGCTCTTCCAGGCAGTGACAAGTTCATGTATTAGTGTCAGTATATATGTATTCAAGTATTATTTACTTATTTATAAAACATTTTGAGAATTTTTTTCTTAAGATATAGCATCACAAACTTAATTAAGAAAGGTTGACTGGAAATGAGCAAAAATACCTAAAACAAGCTTAAAAACTCACTGCTCATGCTGTTTTTTCCTAAGATTATTATTATTAAGATTATTATTATTACCTTAAAACAAGTCAAATAAACTTACATGACAAAAAAAACTTGCCATTGAAAAAACAAGCATCATTTATGTTATTTTTAGTGAATAAATCTTACCAAGACTTAACTTTTTTCAGTGTAAAACAAGATTTTCTGATGCGACAAAGCAACAGTTTTTGAAATCAGACTGAATCACTTTTTCCCATTTAAAAATCTTGTTTCAACACAGTCAGAATGAGTCAAATTAAGTCAAATTAAGATAAAAACCACTCGATTCAAGCCATTATTACCTCATATTTCATCATTTTTTGCAGTGTCAGTGTCATGTTCCCAGAGGTCACGGCACTTTCGGGAAAACGTGACGAAAGAATCCGAGGTTTGTCCGTGGGTGCAGTGATGTCACACGACTGGAACGGTGCGAGCTCGGTCTGGAGGAGTCCGCTCGGGTCAAGTCGTGTAAAGTCATGTGACCGGCGAGCGCTAAAAAACACCAGCCGCATCCCATCCATCACCTCATCTGGAACCCATCACACTCACCACATGTTTGGGCTTAAACCTGCACCCACAAGACATATTCTCCACAAATCAATATCAGATAAATGCCTTGATCTTGTCTTTTCTCGTCCTCTTTACCGTATATACCATCGCCGCTCTGCCTTCTCCCTCGCTGCTAGCTAGCGAAAAGTGGCCTGCATGGACGGGCCTGGGAGCCTGCTGTGCCTGGTCGGCGTACAGTGTGGCAGAGCTCTGTGGTCGTATGTGCAGCAGATGTCGGTGCAGAGTGGATTCTCTGGGTGGCTCTGCAAGATTTCAGATAATAAGATTCGGATCAGATCTGAGCGCCACTGACTGAATGGATTTACCTTTTCCATTTCCAGTTGTCGGACTGCTTTAGAGTGTGGCCTTTGTTCCCAGCGTTTGTAAATGTACTGTATGATGCTGTTCAACCATTTTCTCTGACTTAACACAAGGATTCTCAGGAATATTTAAGTAGCGATATGCAAGATTTTCATTAAAGGGCCCTAGTCTGTCATCATTAAAGGGCCTTAATCCGTCATCATTAAAGGGCCCTAATCTGTCATCATTAAAGGGCCCTAATCTGTCATCATTAAAGGGCCCTAATCTGTCATCATTAAAGGGCCTTAATCCGTCATCATTAAAGGGCCCTAATATGTCATCATTAAAGGGCCCTAATCTGTCATCATTAAAGGGCCCTAATCTGTCATCATTAAAGGGCCCTAATCAGTCATCATTAAAGGGCCCTAATCTGTCATCATTAAAGGGCCCTAATCTGTCATCATTAAAGGGCCCTAATCTGTCATCATTAAAGGGCTCTAATCTGTCATCATTAAAGGGCCCTAATCTGTCCTCATTAAAGGGCCCTAATCTGTCATCATTAAAGGGCCCTAATCTGTCATCATTAATGGGCCCTAATCTGTCATCATTAAAGGGCCCTAATCTGTCATCATTAAAAGGCCCTAATCTGTCATCCTTAAAGGGCCCTAATCTGTCATAATAATAATCTGCTCTTTTCCAATACTTCTTTAACTGATAACAGTCGTTCAGAGATATTTGAATTTCTAAAATACTTTTCCAGCCTCTAAATCTTATTGCTTTCATTTCGATGTCCCGCCCTCCACCGTTTCACCAATCAGAAAGTCTGTAATCCGGGCACCAGAACTCACCGCGTGGAGCTAATCTCTGGTAAAGTACCATGTGGCGCAGAACTAAAAAAGGTCTCGTTATGATTCTCAAATCATTAACGACAAAACAAGGAATAAAACCAGGATTTCTATCTTTGTGAAAAAGGTGTTGGTTATAGATTTGTTGTTGACAAAACTCTTGTCTATTCAGCTGTTATGGTCCCAGCTGGATTCGTCTGCATATCTGGCAACCTGAGTCAGGGAGAGTGGGAGAGGCTGCAGTACCACTTTTGGACACATTTTTACAGACTGCTTCTTTAAGTACTGGAACTTCCAGCGTCATCATTTTCGACTGCTTCTGTTCAAACCAAAAGAATTCTGAAATATTCCTTAAAAATGTTTTTGTTTTTCACCAGATTAAGTCATGTAAAAGTGATAAAACCGGTGAATATATCTTGAAATAGTTGGTTGAAAAGCTAATGCTAACTCCTGACAGCTAACAGTGTGTTGCTATCACACTACTACTGCCATCGTGGGAGTGGTTAGCCCTCTCGCTTCTCGGCAAGAAGGTCCTGGGCTCGAATCCTGGTCGGAGCAGGGCCTTTCTGAGTGGAGTTTGAATGTTCTCCCCTTGCCTGCGTAGGTTTCCTCCGGGTGCTCCAGTTTGCCCTACCACTAAAAACATAGGTATGAATGCAATGAGTGCTTGAATGGATGGTGTTTGGTCAGAGGCTTTGATGGTCCAGTGTGTTCGGTGTCACGCTTCTGTCATCACCGTGTGTGAATGAAAAAATACCGGATTTCTGAACATTGTAAAGCGCTTTTGGTGAACTTGGTGTGTAAAATGCGCTATATAAATAAACATTACTCACTTACTATCACAAGTTACAAAGCTTTCAAGAGCAAAATGTTGCATACACTGAGTAAGTACACCTTCACTACTAACAGCCGTCAGATTGACTGCTCTGGGAGTTCTAGTGTGAATCTGCAGCCAGTTTGTGAAGGCAGTGGTCCTCTACCGCTGCTCAGTCCTCTCTGCAGGTGGAGCATGGACCTGGGTCATGATCCACGATGGACTGGACATAAGAGAACCTTACAGTAGACCCAAGGATCATCCGGGACTTAAGCACTCCACCGAGGTCAAAGCTCATGAGGGAGTGGACGTAGAATAACCGGTAAATTGAGAGCTTTGACTGCAGACACCGCTCCTTCTTCACCACAACAGTCTGATACATCGACCACTGCATCTTCGATCTCTCACTCCATCCTTCCTTCACACGGGATAAAACCCAGAGAGACTTGAACTCCTCCACATAAGGAAGGAGACACCACCTGCAGGGAGAATGGAAGGCACCTTTTTATTGTGAAAATATAGACATACAATACAAGTGCAGACGTACATACAGATAAAACAAGACAGACAAGATGCAGTGTGTGTGTGTGTGTGTGTGTTGGTGTGTGTGTGTGTGTGTGTAGTGGTGTGTATAGGTGCAAGCGTTATTATTGCAATTAAATGCGTCCTCCATCACCTTCATTGCTCCTGTTTGTGTGTCTTAAGTGGTGCATTAAAAAGGACACAGAGAGGTGCTATTCCAAGGCTATCTCCCATGTGTCCTGAACCCATAGTAGTTTTTAATTTTTAATATAAATTGGGAAAGCCCTTTTTTACGCTCGAGCACCAAGGCCTCGGATTTGAAGGTGGTGATTTTTTGCAAAGAACAAATCGCGCTAAAGGGATAAACAAAGTGTACCTTAACCTTCAAATCTATGACGAAAACGTAAACGGTTCATGAAGGTTCAAATGTTAATTCAGAGTTCACATTAAGGTCTTCCTGATTATTTTATCATAGTGAGAAACTGTTGGTTGACGAATCAAATGGACTGTCTTCCAATGGGCCATTAAAACTGCGTCAATAGGGATTGCGCAATGTCCTAAATATCTGAAAAATACTGAAAATATTTGTAGTTATGGGTCAAATCTCGAAAGTATTAATCTCGGAGGCAGCTTCTGTGCACCACGTCCCAATGTTTAGTATTATTGGGTGTCCAACTGTTTTGTGCTTGTTTCTGGACTTTTTTTTTTTACCGTTGAAAACATATTAAGTTCTGTTTTGTATTGTTATGGCAACGGCCCTCATTCTTCATCCTTCTTACACCCTCGGCTAAGTTGTCAATTTCAGTCCAAATAGTAAACTGTCAGACCACCCAAAGTAAGGCCCGGTCTCTGAAAGGTGAGCGTCACACGTGTGAAGATCCCCTCCGGCTCCTCGTGTCTGGGGCCCTGACCACTGCTCCGCCTCGGGCCCCGGGCTCTCAGTGTGTTTGGGGGTCACCTGTAGGATCCTGGATACTATTACTACTTTTATGGTCTGGGTTCTCTGTGTCTGCACTTCTCTGTCACCCACATCTCTCCTGCTTCACACCAGGACTTTGCTCCCGTTCAAACCCATAGAATTCTGAGACATTACCTGAAAAGATGTTGAGTTTTTTCACCAGATTTTGATGTTAAAGTGATAAAGATACCGGTTATCACCTGCTGATGGTAAACAGTGTGTTGCTATGGTAATGACCACTATCTGAATCAGAACAGGTCCGAATGGGCGGCACGGTGGCTGAGTGGATAGCACTCTCGCCTCTCAGCAAGAAGGTCCTGGGTTCGAATCCCAGTCGGACCAGGGCCTTTCTGAGTGGAGTTTGCATGTTCTCCCCGTGTCTGCGTAGGTTTCCTCCGGGTACTCCGGTTTCCCCTACCACTAAAAATGCGTCCAATAGTTCTAGCATGCGCCTCCTGTACTGGCGACCCCGCTCCCATCTCTGTGTGGAGTGAGAGACAAATGCCCAAAAATTAACAATTGTAAACCGCTTTGAGACTCAGATCTGCAGTGAAAAGGCGGTATATAAATAAAGATTACTACTACTACTACAAATCCAGTCCAGGACCAGTCCAAAACCAGTCCAAATCCAGTCCAAAACAAGTCAAAATCCAGTCAAAATCCAGTCCAGGACCAGTCAGATGCAAAGTCCCAATTCAGTCCGAAACAAGTCAAAATCCAGTCAAGGACCAGTCAGAAGCCAGTCCATGTAGTCTAAATCCAGGACAAAACTCATCCAAAACCATTCCAAGTCCATTCCAAGACCAGTCCAAATCCAGTCCAAGACCATTCCAGTACCGGTCCAAAGCCAGCCCAAAACCAGTCCCAATCCAGTCTAAATCCAGTCCAACACCAGTCCAAAACCAGTTCAAACACAGTCCAAGATCAGTCCAAAACCAATCCAGGACCAGTCCGCAACCAGACCATAACCTGTCCGTAACCAGACCAGGACCAGCAGCTGGACCAAAGGGCGCTAACCTCCGTAGAAAGAAATCAACTGTAAATCGCGACACTTGAATTTCAAGAATAAAGACAATGACATAGAAGTAAACGACAAAAAGAAACAGAAAAACATCATTTTGAAGACCGCAGGTACATGCGCTGAGCAAGTACACTTCCAAATCTACAACCGTCACATTGACTGCTTCTGCACCTCTATCTTCACCCATCTCTCTCCATGGGACCCCACAGGACGCCCAGCAGTGTGAAGAATCTGCCCCAGGCCCAGAGCTCAGTGGGTGTTTGGGGTCCGCGGTACATGGAGCTGGTTCCACGAGGACATGTGTGTGTTGTGTGTGTGTTGCCTCTATGTGTGTGTGTGTTGTGTGTGTGTTGCCTCTGTGTGTGTGTGCTGTGTTTTGAGGCTTCGGGGCAGGTTTAAAATGACTGATGTGTTGTGAGCAGCGCTGAGGGACACCTGAGACAGCGGGCGGATCGGATGGACCACTGTGGGCTTTTTGGGAGAGAAACACAAAAAAACATTAGTGCAAAAAT